TGCCTTCAGCTCAGGTCATGATCTCTGGGTCCTGGGATCCAGCCCCTGCATGGGACCCCCTGCTGGGTGGGGAGCATGCTTCTCCCTCTCCCTCTGCCCCTCCACCCTCCTGCTTGTACTCACTCTCTCTCTATCCCAAATAAATAAAATCTTACAAAAAAAAAAAAAAAAGGAAGGAAGAAAGAAAGGAAGAAGGAAAAGCAAGCAACAGCTAATATATAAAGTAATTTAACCTGTTTGGGTCTCAGAAGTTCCTAACCGTCGACATAATACAATTTCTATTACTGTAATACTTAAATTCCATGAACTATCACTAGGTCCAGACAATCTCAAAGACATTTTTGTTTAAGAAGATATTCATCACAGGGGCGCCTGGGTGGCTCAGTTGGTTAAGCGACTGTCTTTCGCTCAGGTCATGATCCTGGAGTCCCAGGATTGAGTCCTGCATCGGGCTCCCTGCTCAGCAGGGAGTCTGCTTCTCCCTTTGACCCTCCCCCCTCTCATGTGCTCTCTCTCTCTCTCTCTCTCTCATTCTCGCTCTCTCAAATAAATAAAATCTTTTAAACAATACGTTTAAAAAAAAAGAAGATATTCATCACGGATTAAAAATTAAGCAAACCAAATAATTCCCAGTGATCATATTATTGATGTAGATCAATACTAATTTTTTTCAAACTATATTTTCATTGCGGAAATTTAAAGTTAAGATAAACCCAATACCTAAGCTGAATAAGTAATCTCTCATTCCCCATCCACCCCGATTTTTGTTCTAATTGTCAATCATCACGCTGAATCATCCGATGGATGAGATGGTGGAATGAGTCCCACACTGGATGTCAGAAGATTGGATTCTACCACTGGCCAATTGCAACAATTCAGGCAAATCACTTCGCTTCCGTGACCCTCAGTTTATTCACGAGTAAAGTAAGATTAGATCATCTATGACTCTAGATCCTATAATTCTATAAATTATTAGCATTCTATTTTAACCAATTTAGTTTTTGTTTTTTGTTTTGTTTTTTGCGATCACTTTTAAGTAAAAGTAACAGTAGCGCCCACGGAGGAATCGAACTGAAGAACTCCACAGGAACATTAACATGGCTTTCTATGGTCTCACTCTCAAATGCAAAGAGAACAAACAAACAAAAAAGTATGTTGTATCTGAAGACTATCCAAGTAATATTTTGACCACACAAGCTTCTGGGGTAGAAAAAATAGTAGAAGAACAGTAAAAATGTTCAAGGAAAACCACCACCACAAGAATACCAAATAAAAAACAGATGTCCTACATACAGTTATTGCTACATGACAGAAGCTTTTCATAGCTTTTCAATACTAAGAAGTCCTGACAGAAAAAAAAACGAAATGTTTTCTTAACCATCAATCTAAATGTACTTCTTGCATCCTCAAACCTGAAAAAGACAAAATATCAGGCAACCTAGAGACTTATTTGTGCACATAATTGATCTGCTCAACTTTACACCTTTACAAGCATTTAGTAATGTACCCTGAACATAAAAGGCATGTCACACCAGTTGAACAAGTGAATGAACTACATATGAATCTCTAATCAACAAGTAAGTCCATAGAAAATAAATTGTGGGGGCGCCTGGGTGGCTCAGTCATTAAGCGTCTGCCTTAGGCTCAGGTCATGATCCCAGGGTCCTGGGACTGAGCCCTACATGGAGCTCCCTGCTCCGCAGGAAGCCTGCTTCTCCCTCTCCCACTCCCCCTGCTTGTGTTCCCTCTCTCGCTGTCTCTCTCTCTGGCAAATAAATAAATAAAATCTTAAAAAAGAGAAAAAAAAATTCTGATCAAGCTTTACTACTTCTTTGCAAGGTATTCTAGCAAAATGCAACATCTGAAAAGAAACTGAAGTAACTAAATAGGCTAGACCTCCATGGTTCCCAGGCATCAGTAAGAATCTGAAATTGCAATTAAGACAAATCACAAAATACAATTAAAACTGAGTAACAAAACACACTAAAAAAACTAAGTAACAAATAGCCTGACATTTACCTACATCAATCCCTGGCCTATTCAAAAGGCTTTGCTTCCTACTGCAGTAATGGCAAGAAAATCTCACCACTTCCCAAATTAAAAAGAAAAAAAAAAAAGCTTACAAAAACTTGACTATATTTACCTAGCTTTGGAACCAACTTTTACTCAATTAAATTCAAAGAAACATAAGTTATTTTCAAGCATTTTCTTTTAAAAAATTATGTGAGCACACTGAATACTTAAGTTTTACTGTCTGATTAAATGCAAAAAGGCATTCAGTTAAAAATATATCTTTCTCAGAGGCGATGGAGGGAATCACAGCTATAGTACGTAACAGGCCTATTCAGGTTAAGTCGTAATGTGAATACATTTTTCTAATTAGAATACAATGTTTATTCATTCAACAAACATTTGCAGTGTCAATACCCTACACAGAAAATAAAATCATACCTGGTGCCTTAAACGTAAAGATAAAATCTGAGAAGGGCCTATCCTGATCTCAAGAGGAGATAAAACTAGTTCCTAAATACCTAAATACAAGGTAGAAAGTGTGAATGCCACGGGAGATGTGCAGATAAGCACTTCAGGAGTGCAAAGGAAGTTGTTACTACCTCACAGAAACATAACCCTTTCTATCTGTTTAAAGCAATTTCATAACTATTAACTCTCTTAGGATCACAGCAGCCAACCCTAAGAGAATGGATATTTTCCTACTATCATAGATGAGGAAAGGGAAGCACAGAAAGGATGATCATGTTCCAAAATGTCACTTAGTAAAAGGAAGAATCAGGACTCTTTGTATTGTATTTTCTCTGGGGGAGTAGTTCAACATATGGTAAGCCTTTTGCAAAAGGAAAGAGTATTTTGGTATTGCAAGTAATCCTATCCTTATGTATGTATGTAAGTATGTGCATATTATTTATATATACGTGTGTTAACCTTGATTTCTGTTGACAGGTGTGCTTAAAGCAAGGCAAGGCAACTGTGTACTATAAATACTAAAATAAATAAATAAGCTCCCACCGGATCTAACAGAATAAGCGAATACAAACACTATTTCTTCCTCCAACAACCTATGTTTATTTCTTTGGTAATTTTTACCCATTTCTAAATAAGATTCTAAAATTGTTCTATCTGCTCCTGAGCCCAGGCCACTTGGTTCCTCCAATAAATATTTTTATGAAAGGGTACATTAAGACGTTTTTTTAAACTATTAAAAATTAAATAATGCCAACGGCTCTTCAGTTATGGAAAGGTCAATCCCATGTGACCTATTAGCAGCAGTTATTGATCAAGATATGTTGAACGAACGAATGAATATCTGTAGGCATTTTAAAATCCCGGGCCTGTTGCTCTTGGCTCAGTGTTCTGTCTCTCATCATTGCCTCACCAGGATGCACACAAGGAACGCAAATTTCAATATTAATTAGGACATGATCAGGGAAGCAAATCTGATGCAGGTGAATACACTAATCCCAAAGATTAGAATTACCTATATCACTGCTCTCCAAGGTTAACTCTGCTGAAGTGGCGCCATGGCGTGCAACATCAGTAAAAGAAAACTGACGCTTCCTGAGCAAACACTTTTCACAAATACCACTTATTCCCACGTCCACCTCTAATAACGACTACACCTAATCCAGTCCAATCGAAGAATTCAGTCTGCTCTCCATTAAGACCGGTTTCTCAATTACAGTTTCTCAAATCCTTCTTCCTCTATAAAAGAGAATTCATCGACTTCACCCAGTAAAACACCAATAATAAAAGGCAGGAGGTAGAGGGTTCCGATCTTTGCCATCTCCGCTACTACCCACCCTTCGCCATTACACCCCGAAGTGGTTTGCTTAGAAGGTGAACTAGTTTGCTCTTCACGCACTTGTCCATCGCTGTCACCCTCCCTAAGCCCTTCCACACTCCCAAGACGGCCACCAACTCCGCCTCAGAGTGAGCCCAGGCCCGCCACCTGTGCCGGCCCCACCTGGGCTCCCCCGGCCCTCCCGGTCTCCCTCGGTCGGCCCGCAGGACTCCGCACGCCCCCTCCCCACAGGACACCCGGCCGGCCGCAGCCCATTCTTCCTCCAAACTCCATAAGCCTCTTCCCCTCGCCCAGCCCCAGCTCCCCGCCGCGCCCGAGTCGCCCCGGGCGGCCGAGGGGGAAGGGGCTGGGCGTCTGCGGCGGAACCGGACCTACCGGG